GTTTGGACACAGCCGCCCGCCCGAGCGGCGACGGCCTTCGGGTGCGAAGCACCGCAGGAATCTCGATGGCGCTCGACATCTCGGATTAAGAGCCTCTGGCGGCCAGGGAGCGAGAAGAGGGGGAGCAAGGGAGGACATCACTAATACGACTGTTGTGGGCTGGTGTCTTTTCGCCTCGTACAGGATGCAGACACTAGTGTGGTATATGGAAGTAATTTGACCATGTCACAAACACGTTTCTTTAATCATGCTTAACTGTACCTTCTTTGCTATTTTATACATATGTTTATTCTTTAAGTAAGTTTTTTCACTAACAGTCGAATAATGTGTAAAATATTATTTTAGTAAGTAACAAGAATACTATCTCCATGTTCGTTAAAATAATCAGTTGTAGGTATGTGTAATTACTGTTGGCAACCTGTGGTCATTATGGTTTTTGTCGGAGAAGGGCATACGATATACATATGTTTAAATGTGACATAAAAATATGTTACAGAGTCGTCACTACACACGAATACGGAGGTACAGAATTGCGTACACGATCGCGTACACCACACTACTACCACGCATGCACACGCGGCGGAATGGCCGGAATGGTCCATGGTGGCCATGTACGCATACACACCTCCACCCAAGGAGGAGCATCTGTTCTCAAGTACCTACTACCTCAACTACATAGCATAACTCTTGTCTTATTTGTGAAACTATTCCACTCATGAATTTTATACCTATTGAGTTCAACAGAACATCTGGTACCCTCCAACCAAGACGGTGTATTTAAAACAATTGTCGCTTATGTATCCAACTTAGAACTTCTCTCTTTAAGTAATAAGCTGCGATAGATCGGTCTTAGACATACGCTGTTGTAGACAAAAATAAGTATTATTATCACACGTTATTTGTCTTCATATGATATTTTATTGAACAACAAACTTGAGTCACTTTTTAATAATTAATAATTTTTTAATGGGTTTAAGCACTTTAAGAGGAATTACGTCCTCTTTTTTAAAGTAGTTTTGACACTTTAGAATGTAATCGGGACTAAATTCTCCTTTCTGTGGTAGATTAGAAAGTTTCTTTATATTTGTGCCTGTAATTTCTCCGTGAAATAAAAATTAATTTTAATTAATGAATAAGAGCGAGATAACTAATTAATGACTGCCCACTACAACTGGCGGTGGATTTTCCAACTATTTAAATCGTCTTGCAACATGTTTAAAACTTAATATTACTAGGCAATAAAGCAATAATGAAAATAAAACAATAAGTGAAAAATACACTCCGCAAATATATGTTACGAATAGGCTACTATGTTCTTCGGTTTGTCGTCACAGTAAATTTTAAAATGTTTTAGTTCGTCAATTTTATCAGGAATTATATTTATTTGAGTGAGATGTTTTATTCTCTAAGGCTACTTCAAAATGTTCAAGGGGCTCATAGTTGGCTCGCGCCTTCTCTGGGCGCACGCTTTCAGCAACAGGAAGCGGACTGCATTGAAAGGGTACGTTTCATTGACAGAATAAATATTTGGGGCATTCTGAAATTAATCTGAATGTAATTTCATGCATGGAGTAGTCATTAAATACCACTCGTGTGTTACTAATGTCCGATAAATCCCTTTGAGTCCTCGCGACTTGGGAATTTATCAGAGATTTGCAACGTCCTCGTGGGATTACCTACTACTAGATGCGGCATTTCTGTCTAAGTTTTCAAAACATCCATGTTTTTTGTAAAAAAACGATATTTCAAACATCGATGCGATTAAAGTCGTTGTTTTTTTAATCCACGTTTTTTGTTCAATATGTTTTCCCTTCCTATGTATTCTTTATGAATGAAAAATATCCTTAAAACAATATTGTAAACGTTATAATGCGAAATAAGAACTGCTGGTAAAAACATTAGTTTGCGATAACCCTAAGCTATGAAGCTTTCAGGATGTTTTTCCTTCGTTTCTATTATTTTTAACGTGTTTTAACCTTTTACCTTAATCACCTTTTAAAACATCGATTTTAGTCGATTATGTTGATGATTTTTAGTCCATTTTTAGTCGATTAACGTTGATGCTTTAGTTTTGAACATCGATGTTTAGTAACATGTATGTTTTGTTATCGAGGTTGTATCTTTTGTTATAAAGGAAGGATGTGGGGGTGTGCGCGGCGGGCAGCCTACCTCTGCGATGGGGAAGGGGCAGTCGCCGGCGCAGTAGTGCGCCTCGAAGGATTGCGGCGCGACGATGAACTTCTCCCAGCCGATGGCCGAGAAGTCCACCTGCAGCATCTTGCGCTGGCACAGCGGCGCGCCGCCCCGCCCGCCGTCCGCCGAAGCGTTCACGCTCAGCCCGAAGTCACTGCGGTTTAGGTCCGGCAGGTACTCCCGCTCCTAGGGGCAGGCAGCCGGCCATTAGCTCCTAATGTTCTCAGGGCGGGGCGCAAATAAATGTGCAAATAATTGAAGAATTCAGGTAAATAAATCTTCAGGAAAGCGAAATCAGGATTGTTG